GGGGGGGGTTTCAGGAACCCATAGGTTGGGGTTGGGGAATGAAAGTGAGGAGATAGTTCCTTTATAAGAGGATCTCATTTGAGACCCTGTCAAATACAGGGCTTCCTTTGCTCCATCATCCTCCAACCCTAACCCAGGGCTTCTCCCACTGAAATCCCAGAAAAGCTATGAGAAAACGGGTGGGGGGGAGGGGAGGGTTTTTCCTTGGTTCTACTTTCTTTATACCCCGTGAGGCTGCTGGGGTTGCCCAGTTCCTAGGCCAGGCCTCCCGGATAAAAGAGTAGAATTTTCCACGTGAGAGAATGTATGTTGCCTTCCCCCCACATTCTACAAAGGCTCTGCCAGGGTCCCTGATACTCCCAGGAAGTCACAGAGTTTTCCTATAAGCAGCTTGGACTGAGTTCCCCTTCACTTGATTAGACTAGTATCACTGCCCTTGGAAGCAAACATCAATCTTCAGGAGGTGCTACTATCCCCAGTGAACTAACATGAATTCTGACTTAATTAATACAAATACTTCTAAAGCTGTATTAAATGACTGAAGCAAGGGCTTGGCTGTAAGATGTCTTCCTTCCCCCCATCCTGGTACCTCTTTTGTATGCCACCCTCCATAGGGTTGTTTCACCCACATAGCAGGGTAACATCTTTCATTTTGGAGTCAGCAAAGATAAAGATAATAAATTAGAGGGTGCCATTAGAGGGAAAGGGCCAGAAGCTAAAAGGTCTGGGCTACATATAAAGTATTCATATATACACAGTGGTGAGATGATAGATGAGTAGCCCTACTGGTGGTACAGAAGAATCATCTTCCAAACCCCAACCCCACAATGGCCCAACCCCCATCCTGAGCACAAGCTGCTCCAGGCCAGAAACAAAGTGGGCAGCAGCCCAAAGGCATCTTGGTGTCTGCTACACTGCCTTCCAATGGCAGGAGAAAAAGTAGGCTGGACACTCAGTTTACATTTATGCATTAGTGGCTCATTGGGGTTACACAACCTGGAATAAAGGAGCCCCCAGACCAAGGGCCTAATTCTGGTATCAGGAAGCTGAGACAATATCTCCCTTAGTCCAGAAATCATAATGAGGATCTTAAAGGGAACCAGCCAGGGACTGGGGCCAGTCTGACTTCACCTCCCTGCCCTACCACCCTGTGCCCCATAGCACAAAGCTGGAAAGCTCTCTCCTTCCCCTGTGAGGGAAACGTGCACTTCCTGAGAAAGAACAAACACAAAGTCCTTTGGGACTGGGTGGGGTAAGGCCATGGCTTGCTGCCTAGTCAGTTTTTCCACCAGCCAGGGACATGGTACAAATTGCTCTGTGGGGGCCCACTTTGACCACTCCCACCCTTCTAAATTTCTATCAGGAATTCTGAATGTAGTTGCAGAAGGACCTGAGGAAGTTCAACGTGTCTCTCTACAGATTCTTCCCAGGCTTCAGACCTCTGTGTATGTCAGTATATGTGACTCAGAAAGACCAACTGCACTCACACTCAAAGGTGGTCATATCTGGGATAGCACAGGAAATAGAAAGTTCCTGAGCAGGAGAAAAGTGGCGCCCACCTGAGACCCCAGGTAGGTGGGTCAAAGTATTAGTCCTAGCAAAGCTCTAGTACTGTACTACTCTTTCTGAGTGCGGAACATGGGTTTTCTGTGTTCATGACCCATATGTTCAAAAAATATCCTTCCCAGATTAAGCTTCAATATCGTTTCCCTCTTCTTGACCCTATTCCACCCTCAACATCATGTTGGGAAACTGTTTCCTCATCTGTTCAGACAATCTATTGGAGCCTAAAGGCCATCACTGACTTACTTACAATAAATCAGTCTCAAATCTATTCCTATTACCCATCAACCAGAGAGTGTCTCTGTGTGTGTGTGTGTGTGTGTGTGTGTGTGTGTGTGTGGTGGGGTGGAGGGGTGGGGGGGGGGAAATAAGAGAAATGGAAAGGGAAAATTTCAGAGGTGGAAAGAAATGCCCAAGATGAAAAGGGCTATATATAATGACCTTTCTGGGGAAAAAAATGTCAGTTTAAGTCTCAGTACTCAGGTTTCTGAATTACATTTCGGTTTTCTCTAATGAAACACCATCTTCACAGGAAAGAATTACTTTGAATTTTGGTTAACAAGGTCACATCATTCCAAATGTTTGCTAACAGATGTGATAGCAGGCATGGGAAGCAAGAAGAAGGAAAGGGAAAAAGAAAAAATCCAAACTGTAGTTCGAGGGGAAGGGGTATTCCTGAACTAGAACAGATGGCTCTCAGAAATAGTCCCCTGAGCATCTCAGATACTGTTCCATACCAGTGCTGGCTGCTATTGCCTAGCACAGGCCCTCTTGCTCCCCCCACTCGAGAAATAATCTCAGACCATGGACTTCACAGAACAGGGAATCAAAAGTTATCCTTTTTTCCTGCTGTCACTGAACAGGCCCAAAAATTGCACAATAGGGTAGTCCTATGAGCCAAAACCAGGACACAAGATCTTAACAGCAAGTGGTATGAACCCTACCCTGTAGGACGTCAGGAAATATCTCTACAGCCATACCCAGCAGAAGCAGCTGTTCTTTGGCCCTTCCAAGATGGCCACAGGTCAGAATTCTTCCAGCAACCCTGTTTCAACTTGGGAGATCCCAGGAATACCACTGGGATCTGAAACACATCCAAGCTGGGTGGGAAGGGGGAAGCGTACAACAACACCTATCCTTGTGGAGGAGATAAGAAGGGGATTCTCCAACCCACCCAATGAAAATTTCCTGGAGATGGTACTAAGTAATTGGGCAAAATGAGAGACGAGGCAATAATTGGATTCTTTTTTTGTTTTTGTTTTTTTGGCGAGGCAATGGGGGTTAAGTGACTTGCCCAGGGTCACACACTTATCAAGTGTCTGGTCTGAGACCAGATTTGAACTTAGGTCCTCCTGACTCTGGGGCCAGTGCTCTATCCACTGTGCCACCTAGCCGCCCCCAATAACTGGATTCTTAAGAAATGTTGCAAAGGGAAGTTTTTGGTTTTGTTTACCTCTTCCCCTTATGTATTAGCTAGCACTAAAAGGCATTTAGGGAAAATCTAGGCTCTAACACCAGAGCAGGAACTAGGATAAGCAAGGTAGATAGTTTCTTGGGGAGGGAACATATAGAGAAAGAACAAAGAAAGAGTGCTTCTGAGGGCCTGAGTTCAAATTTTAGCTTGTTCAACATTGAGCAGAATCATGAACCTCTCTGGGTCTTAGATTCCTCAACTGTAAAAAGAGGTCGTTGGAGAAGATAACCTTTCTGACCCATCCCAACTCTAATCTAGGAACCTATAACCTGGATTTGAGCCCTGACTTTCTCACTAGCTCTGTGATCATGGGCAAGTCATTTCACTCTGATTCTCTCTCTCTCAGAGCTGGCTGGTAAATTATCACAGGCCACATAATTGTGAATTATTAAAAATAGCATAAATATACATCTTTAACATCAGAAAATTCTACTCATCATATCAGGTAGGGGTTTATGTTGTGATAAATCAAGCCATATTGGTTACAGAGAAAATGTAACACCGCCAGGGGACAGAAACACATAAAGGGTGGAATTTTCACACTGAGCCTGGAGGTCACAAAATATCATGTCCTGTCTTTGACTAATGGGATCTGTTTTCTCAATGAATTGAAAATATTTGCTTCCATCTATCAAGGCTTGCAACTTTTCTCAGGCTTGTTCATAAGAGAAAACTTGAAATCAAGTCCCTCAACTGGGCATAGGACGGACACAGAATGGGCACAATCCCTCTGGCTACAAGAGTCGACTACAATCTAAAACTCCACTTCACCTGGAATCAGTTCTAACATATGAAAACAAAAGTAAGAATGATAATGCTATTAAAGCCACTAAGTGTGGGCAAAGGAGCTCCTCTCTCTCCTGGTCCTGTGATGACTGAAGCAAAGGAAGGAGCCAGACATTTAGATAGAACATGAAGAGAGGAGGTGGCTCCTAGAGTCCAGGAGGTAAAAGAGACAGTGGAATGAATAGGAAGGGAAGGAAGCCAGGGAGGGTGAGAAAATGTGACTCATACTGCTGTGAGTCACCACATGCTGGTTACTCAGATGTTCCTTTTACATCAAGTGCCTAAGGAAGTATGATGAGGAAGAGAGCTGATAAGCCGAGAATGAGGAGATATGCCTTTAAAAAATAATTTGCCACTCAAATGCTGTAGCTTTATTACAAATGGAAGAGTGGTGGGATGGTGACTGAGCAGGGGTAGGAGAATGAGGGAGGAGAGAGGAAAAAAATGAAGCCAAAGCAGAAAAGGGTGGGAGTGCTGTAGAGACAGCAGACCAAACTTTCTTAAAGGAATGAGCTGGCAAACCAAATCAGAGTGAGCTGCCCATCTCACACTTTTCTCTTCACTCTCAGGGCAGACAAATAAAAAGTTGAATATAGCACAACAGCTTCAGCTACAGCCAAACTAGATTAAAGGCAAAGATAAGAGGATAACACACCTACCTGGAAGGGAAAAGGTCTCAGGTTAAGATTTTAAATTTTACTTCAAGTACAGAAATAGCCAGAGCTCTCTGGGGAGAGTCAGATCCCAGAAATGGGGACTCATGGAATGTGAGGATCAGAAGAGATCTTACAGGCCATTAAGCCCCACAATCTCATTTCATATAATAGAAAGTTGTGGCCCAGGGAAGGGATGTGACAGGTCTAAGGTCACCCAGAGTGTGGCAGAGATGAGACTAGGATCTCCTGACTGATTTCTGCCTTTGAAGTAGCACACATGGGAGCTCCCATGCTGTGGCAGAAGTTGGACCATTCTACCTAACAATATTCTTTTTGCTACAGAAAGGAGGAAGTAAGGCTAGGCTAGCCAGATTTACCAAGAGTCAGAATGTTACAAGCTCTATTTTACAAAAACAAAACAAAAAAAAAAGCAAAAACTCCCTTTCTTCCTAAAACCACATTAAAGCACACATACCAAGCCAAGCTGCAGAGACCAAGTGAGGGCCTACTTTCTGACAGCCATTACTGCAATGTTTCCTCTCAATTCAACCCAGGGCTGCTCCTTGCAAAGGTAACTTCTTATATTTGCAGAAGAATATATTAACAGAAAAAAAGGGCTGGTCTATAGGGTAAAACTGAGAGAGCCAATCACTTGTCAAAAACCTAAAAAATCATTTATACTATGACTTGCATTTCCTTAGGATGACAATAGCAAACACCTGAGTAAAAATCAGGCATAATTCTTTCAAATGAGAATTTTGGGATACTGGAAAAACACAAAAACAAGAATGGACAACATGGTAATCTCCACCAAGGAAATTTCACTGGGCTAATGGAAGGCTGAGATGCTTTTCCAAAGTGGGTTCAGGATTTTTTTTCCAGCAGTTTTCCTGGCAAGCATTTCTAAATCAGTTTCCCCAGGACAGACCAAGATCCCACCCTGAAGGAACCAGAAAAGTGTTTGAAATTTCCCATGGGAACAGGTATGTGACCTGGGAGGCCAGAAGGCTTTCCTTCCTCAAGGGGATTTGAATTTTCATCTTAGTGATATCAACAATAGTGGGGTTTTCCCCACCTTCTCTACAACCTCCCCAGCCTCTTACCAGTGCAGCCTTAGTGCATGGAGGAAGGCAGAAAGGCCCTCCATCACCAGAAGGATGGCAACAGTCAGTGTGGCAAATCCTGCAAAGATGAAGAACAGGCCCAAACCTCCTGCTAAACTCTCCACCTTCAGACCAATATGGATCACCATGGTCCACAGCACCTCAGACAGCTCTGGAAGAAGAAGAAAAGAGTGAAGTGTCAGTGCATCAAGGGGCTCACTGAGAGATAAAGGCTTAGTTCCCTTGCTTAGGGCCCCATATTTCACTCTTACCGGCTTCCCCCATCCTAATTCCCATAGACTTGGGGCATATCAACATTACAAAACTGTGCTGAAAACAGGAGTTGCTGACCTCTCCCTGCATTTTCCCCCAGATCCATTTTTTTTCTTTGCCCAAAGCTTCAGGAGTCCTAACGCTTTTATAACCAATCTATTAGGGAATTATGCTTCTAACACCCCACCGAGGGCTCTGCCCAGGGATCAGGGTTAGCCAGTAGCATCTCATCATAGGAGAACAATACTCACGGGCATGAGCAAGGCTGAGGGCCCAGAGCCGAAGGTAGGAGGCTGTGTTAGAGATGCAGCCCAGGCAATATTCAATGGTGTGGATGGCTTGATGCACCACGGTGTCACCAAAGTTGAACTGTTGTGGGGAAAGGAACCAGGGAGAGTATATGAGACCACATACTGCATCAAGGAGCAGCAGGCATTAGAGGAGTCCTTGGCAATGTGACCTGAGCAAAGTCACTAAGTGTTGGCTGCAGTTCTCATAGCTGGACGCTCACCTCTGGAGCAGATATGAGCATGTAATGTTAAACCTAGCTCTTAATTTCCCTTATAGTTTTCTCTAGAACCTACCTGGATTAACCCAGTTTCTCTCTAACTTAATCAGAGTCTTATTCTTTCAGCACTATAGCAATTGCGCATTTTTTCAACCTGAGAGAATATAAGCTTGAAGGCAAGAATTATATTGGCTTTGAGTTTTTATTCCAAGCACAGGACTCTGCTCTGGGAATGCTCAATAAATAATACCTTGTTGACAGATACCTTTGTCCCAGACATTTCATGCCATAGAGACTCCAGAAAAGGGAAGCCTTTGTCTAAAGTACTGACATTTATTGCTTTACCTTTGATATGCCACCAGGAGGCTGACTGTTCCTATACTTAGGTGATTAATCCTAGGCTGCTCTCAGGGGAGAGAAGAAAAAATCTAACTGGAGAGAGCCCTGCATCTACTCTAGGGAAGGCAACCTCTCCTTTCTTTGTGACCTTTGAAAGAACAGAGAATTTATTTTGCAAAATTTTATCTGGGTACTCAGTTTAGGCCAAACATGACATTCCCTTTTACCCCTTCCACTGTCATTTTTTCCCCAGCCAATTTCCTTGCAATCACCCAGAGTCATTTTCAAAACAATGGGAGGGGGTCAGGACTCAAAAGTTGCCTCTGCAGTGCTCCCAGAGAGGTCATAAAGCTGGAGCTCTGAGAGAAAGCATATAATGGCCTCCAGAAGACCAGAGAGCTCATCACTACCTCCCACTAACACAGGTGGAGGGACAAAGCAGTCCTGCAAAGAACCACCAGAGCCCTAGATCTCTACCCTCCTAGAACAACCACTCCCCCGCCAGACTGAGAGACTGAGAAAGAAAACTTCCCATAACTCACAGGTTAAAATTTCACAAACACAACAAACAGATCAGCACCACTGGGCAAGGCAGGACCATGTAGGCCTCCAAGAGAGCGCTTACCATTTCCCCCGCTCCCTACTCAAAGTCAGAGCCTCAGAAAAGAGTTTGGGCAAAACTGCAGCCTATTTTCTATTGCAGTTTATTTCTTTCAATGTGAATGTGACCCCCACCCCAAGGGGCACCAGACATGCATGTGGGAAGACACGTGACACCTCTCTGTGCATATGGGGCCAGCTCTGTCAATTAACTCTGTGAAGACAAAAGCAGTCCTGTTACGTCCCCAGGGGGCAGGACAAAGTTCATCTAATGAAAGCATGCTTTACTTTGGCCTTGGGCTGTAATCATTCTGGTGTGTTTCTCAGCCTTTCCTCAGGATAGTTTTCTTAAGTCTTTTTACCTAGCTACCTCTGGGGGAAAAAAAACAAAAAACAAACAACAAACAAAAATATCCTAACAGCTCCAATGAATAGTGAGGAACTCAAAACAGTTTTCTAGCTCCCCCAAAACTACAAGAGGAGGGAATCATGTCCCAATTCTGTCGAGTTCAATATTTTCAAACAGATTCACTGATAAAGGTTAATTCCTCTGACTTGGCCCTTTAGGAACTGCCTCTTCTATTATTTACAATCACCCTGGAAAGGGAGGAGCAAATAACTAATACTGGCTTCTCTATGGATGATTAAATGGGCCAGGCCCATGGCTGAGAGAACAGCGTGCTAACGCGGTACATCAAGTATTTCTTCAGTCAATTGTTCACATCTATTTCTAAGATACATAATTGCCATAAATATTCCCAATGATCAGGGAATATTAAACAGTGCCAGGCAGTGTAACTGGGTTACCAAAATGAAATAGGGGAAATTCAGGCAGAAGTAGGAGATTTTTTTCTTAACTTGGTCAGATAATTGTCTCAATTATCTGAATTTGGTTGTAGAAACCTAACTCATGGGTGCTTAATAAGTATTAAATGTTATAACTATTTAACCACCTCAAGGAAGCTGGCCCTGGATATAAGCTGGGAGGGTAAAGATTTTGTAAAATCTAACTGGTGGTCCTTCTGAGATGGTAAGTTCCAATGTAAGAGAGACAAATGAAGAAATCTATACATGGAATTTTTATGCTCTTAGTGACTAGGTGAGTTACAGGCCAATTAGGAAGAAGGCCAGAAAATGGGACCACAGTTGCTGGTGTTACATGGGAAAGAGTGGTACACACACACACACACACACACACACACACACACAGACACACACACACACACAGACACACACACACACACACACACACACCGCAGCTAGGAAATATTCATAGATTGACCAAGATGTAACACAAAGACTGCTTGATGCTAGAACAAAGACCATGCAGTCTTTGGGAAGAGAAAATACTTCCTGGTATTATTCCTACTTCACTACAGGGAAAACTGGGAAGTGAAGGTGGGGAAACAAGGAATACAAAGTTTTTGGATTTTGCTATTTTAAGGAGAACTTCTGGGGAAAAGGCAAATGAAAGAACTTTGAGGTCCGTAACACACACACACACACACACACACACACACGCTTTTCCTTCATCATTACAGTGAATTACTGTTAAGCTATATTGACCTTCTAATCCATAGGCTACTTGAGAATTTTGACAATTTTCTCTTCCCTCTACCACAAAAATCTGCATGTATTTGTTATAATAGTGGACCCTTCTTTCATGAAGAGTATAGTTAGAGGGGATGTGAAGTCAGACACTCTGAGGGGAGAAGCCTCCTGTCGAAAGTTTTGCTCCTTCAGCTTGTATCACAGAGGACAAAGCTGAACTCCAGGTTAAGTGAAATTCAGGAACATTAATTACGAGCCTATTGGGACTTTATCAAGCTGATGAAAGCAGCAAAAGGCTAGCTGTATCTAAGATCAGGGGGAAATGGTAGAAATGGCTCATAAGCGCTTGGTGGCAAGGAGAAAACACAGGTATTCCTAGTGGCATAGGAACTGCAACATCACAAGAAAGGAAGACAGAAGTCAATGTGATTTAGCCCCCAGTGCAATAACCTCAAGAATGCCAACACAGACATCACTTGCAGTTTTTTCAAAAGCCATTCTCAGTTGACCTGTAGAGGTATTTGATCAGCAAAGTCAAAGGAAACAGAAAGAAAGAGGTGAATGTCGTGAGATGCAGTTAATGCAGATGAGCTAACTGTTAAGAACACATTTCATGAAGTATTAGACATGGTCATGAGATGAAGGCTGCAAGGATATGTGTATGCGGCAAAGTCAGCAAAATGATCACAAGGATGGGAAGAGAAGCTCCAGATAAACATGAATGCAAAGCCAGCTTTAGTCTTACCACTTCATCCTCGGTAGGCTTGAAAATATAAATTTACACTTAGTGTGAGGCCATACCAAACACATGATTACAAGTATTGAGCACATGATTAATGAATCTTCTCTCAGTTAGACAAACAATACTAAATGCTGTTAATGTACTAGAGGCCTCTCCTCAGAATACAGGGAATGTATAAAAAGCAGATTTTTGAAACAATAAAGAGATTTTTAAAAAATGAGCGTTGACCCTTTAAAATATTTCTTTTAAAAAATCTGACACTCAGATACATCGTGAAAATGGCTGGGTAGGCTAAAAACCTGAGATTCAGCCAGGTGGTGGTTAGACTCTCATCTCTTATCAACTTTAAAAAGGACAATGAAAATAGATGAGCCATTGTCATTAACAATTCTGACACATTTTACTGTCAGATGTTTAGAGAGTGGTGGACTGACAAGGACTATGTAGGTAGTTCTTAGCCAGACCAAATGACTTTTCAGTTTCCCTACAGTAAAAGCTTTCAGTCAGAGTATCTGAAATAAGAACACTGACTCCAGGACAAGGGGCTGCAGAGGCTAGTCTAAAAGAATGCCACCATTTTCTGAGTGGGTGGTCTTTTTTTTCCCCCCCAAATGTAAAAGGAACAGGATCATCAAAGTCAACTGGAACAGCATAAAACAGAGTAATAGCTTTGATTTTACTGATACCAAATAATGTGGATAATCCTTGGGATGACAGAGGCAGGAAGAAATGCATGGTCCTTGGACCAGTAGCAGCATGTGCTCCTAGTATCAAGAGTTCAGGAGCTGGGTCACACTCTGCCTTCAGTGTAGACAGCAATGGTGCTTGCATGGAATAGACTACCAGTAACATGTAGCCTCAAGAAGTTGAACATTAGGACCTAGACTGCCAGAGGCTCTGTAAGGAGCACTTGGCATCTGGGTGCAGCAGCCCACTGGAAAATGTTATGGAACTCTAAGAGTTCAGAAGGCAGGCTGAATTTTTAGGAGAAGACCAAGAGAGAACAAGGCCTCTTAGGTGTCCAAAGTGGAGGGAGAAAAATCTCACACCACTGTCTTGCTGGTCCTAAAGGCCAAGATTCATGATCTTACCTCGTCTGCGTCCTCTGAATGGGTGGAGAGTTGGTCATGCTGAATAATCTCAGCATCCTCCTCAGTCGGTCCGTTGCCCACCCTGATCCCACCAAAGTTGTGAGTTCCCTACACAGATGAACAGAAAGAGTAGAATTGCCTGGACTTTAATGTGACATTCATTGAGTGGGGAGAGGGCAATGGTTAGTTCATACAAACCTCAGAAAAGCATCATATTCTTACAACACACACCCACACAAAAATCCCACTTTTTTTTTTAAAGCAAAGTGAAAATACAGAACACCCAACAAACCCCATCCCTCTATCTCCAACCCAACCTAAATTTACAGTTCCATTCTGTTCTTGAAGAAATGTGTAATTCTGACTGCTGCATCTGAAAAAATCAAACTTCATCACAATCAGTACCCATCAAGAAACCTGTTTGAATGAAATGCTTAATATAAACAGATCAGAGTCACAAATTAACCTTCAAGGAGTCAAGTTTTTGTAGCACTGAAGATAATATCTCATACAAGTTAGGTGGGCTAAGCAACAAGTGACTGTATCAGTCTGATAAACTACTGACAGGTATACATTAAAGCCCACTGTTCTTTCACAGACATATAACTGTTCTCTGAATGGACACTCTAGAGCAAAAAGAAAAGGTCAGCCCCTATCAGTGTAGGAAACCCACTCATTCACCACATAACTTTTGCTAGGAGAATATACAGTAGTTAAAAATAAATAATTAAAAAATCCCCCTTCCTTAAATGGAGGATTCTGGAGTGTTAGAACAGCTCCTTTTATAGGCATTTGGTCAGATCCTGAGCTCCTCCACATACAATGACAGCACACAAATTCTCTAGGCTAACAATTCTTACATCAATTTGATTGTACTCAGCTTTTGAAAGTACTCAGCTTTAAAGAAGCAGGAGATGACCCCTGAGTATAACAAAGCAGGGGAAGAATTAGAATTATGCCTAACTACAGCCCCCCAACATTCAGCCTCAATCTGCTGTAAAGTTAAAGAGACTGAACTTAACTGTTGTTCCAGCAAACCCTTCCAGCTCTTGTACACAGAATATAGTTCAGAAGGGCCAAACAAGAGAAGGACTGCTCCTCTGTTCAGCAGTCGCCTCAGCTGCACTAACCATAATGCATGCAGGCTGGGTTACTTCCCTTCAGATTCCCTCTCTGGGCTACACCTTTCAGTATGTAGCTCAGAGCATAGCCTACTGACCAGGATTTAGAGTAATCCTCAGCTCTGGAACTGTTTCAGGCTCTAGGTTGTGCTACTGAATGTGGTGCCTAAGGACTCGAAAAGGTACACATCCTAGAGGATGGCAGTGGAACAGCGGTGAAGAGAGAAAATGTGATTTCATTTGGCATACAACTTAAGTTTCTGACGGGGGGGGAAGGTTGTGGGGTAGAGGAAGCAGAGGAAAGGAACACATGGGAAGGGTGGGGCTCATTAAAGTAGAATGCAGATTCTGAAGGTTTCCATGAACCAGCAGATAAAGCAGAATCAAGACAGATGGGACATTCCAGAACAGACACTGACAGGCCTCTTTAGAACAGAGGGGAAAAAAACACTGTGAGAGAGGTATAGGGGGGACACACACAACTGGTAAATACAAAATAACTTGTTACACAAAATATATAACAAAAATAAAACATAACAAAATCATGTTAGTGTTTGGATCTGCAGCCCATCCATTTTCTTAATCTAGGGTTCCTAATGTATAAAACTATTATAGTCCCAAAGACCTCTTGCTTTCCTCCTGGAATGGATGCTTTGTCAAAAGCTTCTGTAGAGAAAAGCCAATCAGTAAACAGGCCTCCAGACCCAGAAGTAAAACAACATCGTAGAAAGTCACAGAAGAAAAGGCCAGACTAAAAGCATCAAGATTCACCTTAACTTTACAAAGAAAAGCAGAAAGAAGAAGTTTATGGAAAGAATAGCCATATCAAGGCAATGGACCTTACATTTTCTACTTACAGGGAAGAAAAGAGTCTACATGCCACAATCAAGAAGTATTCATAACTTACTATGTGGCAGGTACTGTGCAGTATTGCTGTAGCATCAGCATTAAAATGATCTCTGGGTTAAACAATCAGCACTTTTTAGCCTAGTGATAGGATGTTTAGGAGAAACTTAGTTTAATGTTTTCAGAAACACCTGATGTAAATAACATCAAGGATATAAATAACATTTCCTTTTCTTTTAAGGCTGTCTGATACTACTGGTGTACAGAAGTATGATTATAAGTCATTTTTGCTGAAATGCTCTATACGTTATAAATATAGATGTATATGTGTATTGTTTTTCTAGAACACACCATGCTAATTTGGAAATTGTCACAGGACATGATCCTATTAAGAGATTTGTTATGAACAAATACTTAACATTTTTATTTCAAATAACTATTGCTGAATAGCTAGGCAGTGGTAGAGAGTGGAAGGGATTAAGACAGATGGCAAATTGATTTATTTCATCAGATATACAGTACACACAAAATGGCATGAGTGATACTGGAAATCTCATAGGAAAGGCTGAGGATACAAGGGCTCCCCAAATTTTCACAGCGTAGAAGAAGCATGTAAAACCCTCTTCTGGAGAGAAGCTATATCATCACTTGAAGTAGTGAATGACTCAACATCAACGAAGTATAGAAAAGGTAAATTCAGAAGTCATATAGATAAGCTTGCCTAGAGGATGAAAATTCCCTATTATATAACAAAATATAGGGACATGAAAGTGGATTAGTCCACTGCTGTCATCTTGAGGATGACAGGGCTATATCTGGGGTACAACTAGATCCATAGAAGTTACTTTCCTTGCACCCTGACATATGAACTTAGCATGTCATAATTATACTGATGGCATCAGAATTTGTTTTCAAGAAGTAGAAATGTCTTCTGCCGCGGTCCCAATAAGCAACCAGGACATACTTCCCAAGAGCCATACATGCCCCACGCCCTCAGTATAGTTATTCTGCATTCTGGTACATGACTAGGAAACTCTTTAAAAATACATAAAGTGATTGTTGGTTGGTTTCCAATCCACTCACTGTTGCAGCCGCTGCTGCCTCTAGTCCCTGCTCGTTCTGGGTTGGGCTGACTGGGGCCTCCACAGGCTGCCCTTCCTGATAGTGAATGGAAGAGAAAGGAGGAGGAAAGAAAAAAAAAAGGGGAGAAGGATAGATTGGTGGTGGTGAGGAAGGGAGTGATGGCAGACGAATGGAGGATACATGGGAAGATGAAAGATGGTCAGAGAAGGGAGAGGGAGTGTCTTGTAACTGCACAGCTGTGCAACAGAGCAAAACAATCCAAAAGCTGTTTGAGAGTCATGCAATAAAAGCATTCCTGTTTCCCCAGGCACGCATCCTGAGTTAAACATTGTTATATAGCCAGAAATGAAAAACAATCAGATGTACATTAGCAGTAAGTATACAAAGGTATGTATATTGCTTTAAAAAGAAAAAAAAATCAGCTCTGTTTCAAATAAAACCTTTTTCCCGGATGTTCTGGTTAGTGAAAGTATTACTGACTCATTTTAACAGTCAGTGGTGCCTCAGCATTAGCCTTGTGGTTTCCCAGGCAAACCACACAACTAAATTCACCCATTCACCATGCCTATAGCCCCACTCTGGCTGATGCTTTTAGTTTTCATTGGCCACAGGCTGATAAGAGTAGATATAAAACAAATACTTTTTTTTTTCCTTTGTGGGGGGGGAGGGGGAGAGAGAAATGGAGGGAAGATTTGGTTTCTCTATTCCAGCCATTTAAAGCTGAATATAGAGCTCTGAGAAGCAGACAAATATGCTGCTGTTTTACAAGGTCATCAGACATATCAGGACATGTTACATAGAAGGCATTCTAGGCAATACCCTTGAATATAATTAAGTTGTTCAGTTGCTGATCTTAAAAACAAAAACCTACTAGCTTTGGGAAGTACATTAAAATCAGTCACCCACCAAATGTTTCCTTCTTAAATACTGATGGCGAAGGATCAGTGGCTTAAACAACAGCATCCATGGAACACACAGCATTGCAATCACCACCAGAAAGCACTGAACTCCTTGCTGCAGGAGAAAGGAAGAGGAACAAAACACACTACATGTAAATCCACGAGGTCAAACACACAAAGTTTCTAATCACAGCTCAAATGTTCTCTAAGACAAATGCTCCACAGACAACATAGTCCAATCTCTTGGAACAACTAGAAGATGTGAAGTGTGTTTTCAGTTAGCATTCAGGCCTTTTCCCAGGAAAACTTTTAAATAAGCGATGCGCTCTTCAGCAGCTGGAGCTACCAGCACTTCTCAAACTCAGCAGAACATCTGGATCGACACCTGAATGAACAATCCAAGCCCAAAGAGGAGGCACTAACACTGAGAGGGCAGCAGCCCGTTGGCGCCATAGTGCACAGAGCGCCAGGCCTGCAGTCATGAAGACTCATCTTCCTGAGTTCACATCTGGCCTCAGACACTTCCTGGCTGTGTGATCCTGAGCAAGTCGCTTAACCCTGTTTGCCTCAGTTTCCTCATCTGTAAAATTAGCTGGAGAAGAAAACGGCAAACCACTCCAACATCTTTGCCAAGAAAACCCCAAATGGGGTCACAAAGAGTCAAACACGACTGAAACGAATGAACAAGAACATTCACTAAGAACTGTCAAGGACACCAAGTCTGTTCAGCAACAAAACCACAGAAATTCTAGGAGCATCAGACTTCCACAAGTGGCCTAATAGGTCAGGCCCACAAGCCATGAAATGTTCAAAAGACTTTCTGTGTAGCAATTTGAGCTTCAATAGATAGCTAAGACCCTAGGAGGGTAACTACTCTGAGGGGCTATGCTGAAATGCCCCCAAAACTTAATTCTTATTTTTTTTTTTAAATAATCATCTACAGTGGACAGAGGTGCTACAACATATTTTTCTTCCACTATACTTCAATTTTTCACTTGAAACAGACAGTATCCTTCTCCATACTGAAAGGATTAATTTTTGCAAAGCACAAGGTATAATCTCTAAATGGAAGATATAGGAAGAGGGAAAGGGAAGGAAAGGGGAAGGAGAAGGGGGAAGGTGGAAGGGGAAGAGAAAGGAATAAGTATTTATATAGCACTTACTATATGCTAAGCACTTTTATTAACATTATCTCATTTACAAATATTATCTCAACTCTGTGATATAGGTGCTGTTATTAGCCCCATTTTTCAGTTGAGGGAACTGATGCAAACAGAGGTTAAGTGACTTGTGAAGGTCATATAACCAGTAAGTGTCTGAAATGGGATCTGAAATCAGATATTTCTGACTCCAGGCCTAGTATTCTATCCACTGTATCACTGAGCTCCCAAGCCCTGAATGAATGACATCTAATGCAAAGATGCCTATGTCTAAAACACCAGATCTTCTACTTAGTGAATAACTGAGTATGTCAGACTGACCTAGGTGCATTCTTGGGATGACTCACCTGCCCAGAATAAAGCATCTTATTACTGGAGTCCGAGTAGGAGAAAAGGAACATGTTTATAAAATGGATCAGAAGGCTTGGTGCATCCTTAGAAGAATGAGCATCATAGGCTGTCCATTTATAAAAAATGAGGATAACCAAGTAGCCAAACAATGAAGTTATGAAGATAATTTCAGGAATAAACTCAAGGTAGATATTCAGAGGCTTCTTGAAATAGCTGCAGAAGGAGAGACAAAGGATCAAGCTGAACAGATTATCTTAAGGCAGTGTTACTCTTCTTTGGACAAAAGTACCTATGAGCCATAACCCTGGCTCTTCCCCAATTTTGTCTTCACTACTATTAAGAAGGAGCAGAAAGAAACTTTGGTATTTTAAGAACATTCCAGAATCAAATTTTAGCCCCAATCTCAAGGATCTTGAAAGGAATTCTAAATTATGCTCCTCTCCCCACTCCCCTATTCATACCATATAAATAAGAATGGGACTTTGGAGAGTATACCCCTGAGTTGTATAAAATAATTATGTGTAAACACATAACATCCGCATATTATGCAAACTAAAAGACTAATTTTTAAAAAAAGATTTGAAAAGTACTACAAGTTGTAAATTCTTAAATGAATGTAGGCTAATCTCATTCTGAAAAATAAAATTAAAGGAAAAGGAAATCTGAAGAACAAAGGCCTAGTTAAATACTCCCTGAAATGTTGACATTTTTCTAACCAAGTATGCCCGTACATTGGAAACAGTAACTCACGTATGGTTGAGAAGGCTGAGAGTAACACCAAATATCATGTGGATTATACCAAGGATGACAGACATTTTCATCTTAAATGAGTTGAGGAAGGTCAGTTTATTGGTAGCAATGTTCCAAATCTGTCATATAAGGCAAAATAAAAAAAAAAGTCAGAGACATTGGGTAGATGCAACAAGTTTGGTCAGCAAAATTACTGCAGATCTTCCTTTCTCTCTCTTTCACACATACACACACACACACACACACACACACACACACACACACCCCCCTTTAAGCCCTGATTCATGTCACTCTCTTGCTAAAAATCTTCAATGGTTTCTTTATGATATACCAATTAAGTTAAAACTATCTCAAATGCAAGCCTCTTCATGATCTGGCTTTATTATACCTGTCCAGTCTGATCTACAACCCAAGAAGACTCCTTTCTGGACTGTTTATGCCATTTCCTTCATCTGAAATGTTCTATCTACCCTCATCTGTACCTGGCTAAATTCTATCCATCCACTAAGATCTAGATCAAAATACCACCTCCCTTATGAAGCCTCTCCAATCACCCCATCCAGAAGTGATGTCTTCCTCCCCTCAACTCATATACTGAACTTAGTGTCGTTCATACAGAACTAGATTTTTTAAAAAATTGTAGCTATTGGGTACAGATCTTTTTTCCAATAAGCTCCTTGAAAGTAGGTAGGGCTGTGACTTGCAAATCTTTTTTTCCTCACAGAGTAAAAACAAACAGGTAGATATTCAATAAACATCTACTGAATTAAAACAAACAAAAATTATCTCTCTGCAAAGGCACTCTACTTGGTACTAGAAATACAAAGATGAAAGATGGCATGATTTCTGCCCTTGAGAAGCCAAAAAACCTAGTGTGATGGTAAGAAGAGTAAGACGCACACATAAATAATGTAAGTTAAAATAAAAGTGCCTAGGAGATATCAGAATAGGATAACAGAAGAGAGAGGGAGAATTCAGTTCTAGTTGGGAAAGGGCTGTGTGGAGGAGGTGGCAATTGAAGGAAGAGAAGAATTTCAAACAGGCAGAATCATAGGGAAAATCCATCTCAGCTTTAGGACAAAAGATTAAGAATACACTGAGGTAGGCAAGGGTAGGCTAAGATCTGGCAACAGCAAGTAGTCCAATTTGCCTGGAACATGTAGGGCCTGAAGGAGAGGGGTGTAAACTAAGACTGGAAAGGTAGCTTGGAGTCAGATTGACAAAGGCCTTCAATGTCAGTCAGGCTATGGTATTTGTACTTTATCATTCACACAGTGCGAGGCCACTGAAAAGGTTTTCAGTAGAAGAACGTGATTAGTAACTTTTTCACTAGAAAATCAGTTCAAAGAAGACTAAAACTTAGCCATGGCTTAAGAAATGAGTTTTAAGACCTAGGCTGTGATTTCAATATCAGTTTTCTCTAGTTCACCACTGAACCACCTGCATTGAGGGGAAGGGATACTCCTAGGAAGAAAACTTGAGGCCCTATTCCTCTATTCACTTATGGCTTTGACCACTACTGACTGAACCTCCCTGGAAAAGGTCCAGGTCTTCAAAGATTCCACAGTTAAGCTGTCTTTACTTTCTCTTAACCAGGACTCAAGTAAAACAGAAAAAGGGACAAACATAAAGGAAGAAAGAGCTCTCACCGGATCAATGCCAAAAGGATAAGGTCCCTCGAATACACCTTTGATGGCAGGGTCTAACTGGAGAACAGGATTTCCCCGAAGTGTCTCTTCTCTAGTGAGGTAGGTTAAAAAAAAATCACATTTACTGTTATGGCTAAGAAAAGAAGACCTTGGGCTAGAAACAGAAACTTATTTGTTGGAAGAGACAGAATAGTTATGGCTGGGGTGAGAAAGGGAAGAGGCAAACAGCTGAAGTGAGCTGAGAGATTGAAAAAAAAAAAAGAGGAAAGATACCTATAATGAATCAAACATATCCCAAAGGGAAGAATTTAAGAGTTCTTTTTTTGATATTTTATTACTTTATGAAAAAAGCCAATGGGTCTGCTCCCTGATATTTTTGAATCCTACCAAAATAATTCAGTTTGTTATATATAAGAGCACACTGCATCCTTTTTGAAATAAAGAAACCTTTTTGCTAACTTAGCCATTCCCCCCCAAAAAAACTAGCTCTGGGTTTTTTGTGGTACTCTTAATCAATGGTGTCAAGCTCAAAGTAAAAAGGATTCACTAAACCATATATAAGGATCTCTTGTGGGTCACATATTGCCTTAGAAAACTATTAACATTATCTACATTCCACTGTATTTTTATTTTGCTAAATACTTCCCACTCACATTTTGATCTGGTTCAGGTTGCACTTGGGAGTGCACACCTCTGCTCTAGGTCACCACCAGTCTTTAAAAATAAAGCTGAGCATAAGAAAAGAAATAGCTTTGGTCTTTGGCTTCTCTAATAACTTACGTCCAATTAGATGCAAACATTGGCCTGACGCTCCAGGATGACCCAAATATGTTAAGTGCTTTGGAAAAGCAGTCATTGTAGATAAGTCCAGTGTAAATGGAGAACACACCCATAAGCAGAATGATATATCGACCATTAAACACAGTGCTAAACATCTGGCATACGGAAAGAAAGCAGAGCATAAGTACATATTTACAGGATCTAGTCTTGGCACAATGTTAACAAATGTCTCTCAGAATGCAGCATCCCAATCCCCCCATGTGTTCCATGATTTATTTTGGGTCAAGCAACTCAAAGAAAAGACCAATGTGAGCTACATGTTTACTTTCCCAAGTAGCTGCCAGTATGTGACTAGTGTTTTAGTCATTAGTGACTAGTGATAACTTCTCTCTTCCTGTTTATTTTCCTGACAAAGTCTATGAAGTGACCAAGAGGGTTATATTACTGATGAAAATTTAAGCCAAAGCTTCCCCCTCTACCTTAAATATCAGTGCAACTCTTGAAAGGGTGACTTAGCTTTACCTCATTCTCATTCTTCTGGGAGAGGATTCTGCTCTCTCGCATCACCATCCAGATAGCAAAGAGAGTCATCAAAATCCCATGGCCAAAGTCTCCAAACATCACAGCAAACAGGAAAGGGAAAGTGATGATGGTATAAGGAGCTATACAGGAACCAAAAGACACAAAGTGGAAAGAAAAAAGACTAAGTGTAGAAATCGGTAATAATACTAATCTGTTGAATCCACCATAATCCTCTCTATATTTTGTTAATAACATAACAGGACCTTCTACTCTAAGAAGTCTGACATCAATTGTCAGACCAGATAGTTACTGGGGAAATATCTTACTGGTGGGGTCCACAATCACAAAGTCACAAAGCAACTTTGACTTTTAACTGTAAATGAAGATGAAAAAAGAAATGAAAGGGGCAGCTAGGTGGCGCAGTGGATAGAGCACTGGCCCTGCAGTCAGGAGGACCTGAGTTCAAATCCGGCCTCAGACCAAACACTTGACACTTACTAGCTGTGTGGCCCTGGGCAAGTCACTTAACCCCAATTGCCTAAAAAAAAAAAAAAAAGAAAGAAAAGAAAAGAAAAGAAAAAGGAAATGAAATAATAGCTCAGTTAAACCTCCTATTCCCTTTCTCTGACTTCAGTACCACCATTCCTAAGACAGGTTTGTTTGTTTGTTTTTCCCACTATGGTACAGTTATTATTTTTCAATAAATAATTCTGCTAGGAAGTGAGAGATGTCCCACACCCAAGATAAGGCTAGTTCTATTTTCAGGCTTGTGATTTAAGAATATGAGGCTCTGAGAAATTCTTTCTCAAAGAACTACATCAAGTTATTTGAACAGTAAGCCATATCTTGCCTAAGATATTATCAGTTGATATTTTGCAATCTGATTTGACTAAAATATGCTGCCATACCTGAAAAAATGAGAGCCAGTAAGATTATCTTCATAATATAGAATAATCATAACCAGAAATCAACATTTTACTTGGAATTACTTCTGCTGGAGCTTTGCCAAAAGAAGGCTAAGTATTTTATAGCCATGAGGAAATATGTTAACAGTTTAATACAATAAGTTGTTCTAACTTCCTTATAAGATGCAAACAGTCCTTCGTATGAAGTCTAAGGTTTCACACACAAATCTAGGACTGATAGTAGCCAAAATGGACAATAGCACCAGTCCAACTGCCAACAGGGATATTATCTACTATCAGAAGACTTTTGTCAGTTTATCCTGGCTGCTCAACAGTAAGACTTTTGTCCAGAAGTATCTCTCAAGGAAAAATCTCTAGGATATTACCTGGATTAATCTCCCGGTATGTTCCAATGCCATAAGCATCTACCAAATTCTGAAAGCCAGATGTAAACTTGTTGGTTTTGTTATAAGTTGGGGGAGTCTGGTTTGTCTGCATCCTGTTCAGAATGGAAGGCACTGTAGAGCCACTATGCTCCTGTGAAATAGCAGACATACAATGTTAGAATACTTTTCCAAGGTTTTGGGGGAAAAGGGGAATAAATACAAAACTCACAAGGAAAGATTTAAACTAGTTATCAGAAAGAATTTCCTTAAAATTAAGTTACTTAATTCTAGTACTGGCAACTAAAGAAAGCCGTGGAATCAATCTCCCTGGGAAACATTCAAGTCTGACTATCTTTTTCACTCTCCACTTGTTACCAGATCCCCACCACCTCAAAATTCTCTGAATCTTTCCCTTTCCTTCTCAAAAGGTGTTTTTCCTTTCCAAAACTACATCTTCCCTTTTGCTTTTTCTCTTGCTTCTGCTCACTTCTTTTTAAGACCTCAATCTATTAACGATTCCCTCTCCCTACGGCATCTTCAACCTCTCCCTCTTCATCTGGTTCCTTCCCTCTCTGCTTCCTCTCCCCTGACCCTTAGGTATACTTGAGCTATTGTACTTTATTTTTCCTTTCACCATCAAATTTCTTAAATTGATAATTTATATTTGCTGTTTCCACTTCTTCACCATCACTCATTTTAAAATCAGAATCACACAATTTCAAGGTTGGAAGGGATATTGGTGGACAACTAGTCTCACACATAAACAAAACAAATTCCCAGTATAATATAACTGATAATATAAGAAATGT